TGAGAGATAAGCTGCATGTGGCATCAGCCCATTCGGGGTTGCTTTGGGGCAGGTAAGCTCTGCCAGAAAAAGGAAAATTAGAAAGCACAAAGGGGTCATCTCTGAAAAAGAAATGTTGAAAATGAAGCCAAATGCAAAGAATATTCTGTGGGCCTAAAAGGGAAAATTAGAAAACAAATACCAAGAAATATTTTTAAAAATCAAATGATTTGCAAAGCAAGACATTTAAACAGTTATTAAGAGGTTGTGGGGAGGAAAAGAATTAGGAAATAACAGAAATGTCATTTACAACATTTTCTACAACAAGCTGTTGGATAAAACCGATTTAAATTCCTGGGAGCAGAGATTTCACTCAGGGAGAAAATGTGCCAGAACGAAGGCTTGCGGGGAGTCGAGGCTGCAGAGGAAGAAGCATCACATCACGAGTGGGAACTCATTCACTGGTCCTTTCCCAATGGAGAGGAAAAAGAGAAAATAATGACCCCTGGGCTTCCTGAGATGGAGACCTGCTGGCACACACTGAGGAGCAGAACTGGTCAGAAAGGGAAAACGAAAGCATGTGTTTCTAAGAAGCTGATAATTTAGTATTTGTGAGGGAATTTGGTTCTCATTGGTTAATGCGGGGCACACTGTGGAATTTGCTTTCATTAGACGTGACTCACCACAAGCAAGGAGAAGGCTTACGACACTGCTCTGTGCATGAATTGCATTTAAAGATCGCAAGTACAAGGCTTGTAAGGGTGCCCAGATCCCTCAAAGGTCTGTGGTCCCTCTGCCCTTGACTGTGCCCTACTGGCAGGCTCTTGGAACGCTCCAATATGGTTCCAGTCCTGGGTTCCCCTCAAGCTTCTCAAGCGTGAGCCCCAAGTCCCCTGGGCACCCTAAAGCTTCCCCATTGCTCTGGGGAGAGGATGAGGAGGGATTGCCTGGGGCAGCTCTTCCTGGCCACTGCCTCCTCCTTCCCTCCCAGCCCCTCGCTTGCCTGCCACTCATGGGAATTCCCTTCTTGCCTTGGGGTGGGCACCTGGTGTAATAAATCCTTTTGACCAAGACAGTCATCCTGTATTTGAACCGCAATAGTTTTCTGGCTGCCTCTAAAGCTTGAGCACAATTATCTGTTAGGTGTGAGCACCCAAGCAATTGCCAGTTGACCATCTTTCCTCTTCCTCCTTTGTCTGTCTGGCTGAGTCACACTGCCATCAAGGATGGTTTCTCTCCAGAAACTGCATCTTGAATAGTGGAGACACAAAGCCTGGCTCTTTATCCTCTGCTACCTTGTCCCCCACACCCCACCTCTCTACCCTGACACCCCACTGGTGGATCTGGTTGTAATTTGCCCTAGTGGGCAGTGGGCCTTGTGTCTGGGTGGCATGCTGGGCTGTCTGTGACCGGAGCATCAGGCCCTCTCTGCTCTGCCTCAGCAGTCTGCAAAAGGACCACACCCATCCCTGAAAGGGCTGCAGGTTTTGTCTCCAGCTGTGTGCATACTTGACTCCAGGAAACCCTCCGAGTGCCTGGTGGTGTAGCAGGGGAGCGGCTCCACCAAGGCTCAGCAATAGAAAGTCTCTGGGTTAGAAGGAATTTCATGGTCATCTAGGCCAGCATTCTACAAAGAGTCCATTAGTGGGAGGTGGCAAGAATTTAGTAGGCTGCCATTAGCAATGGAGAAAAAAATAAAATAGAACATCAGAGTGAAAATTAACTTTCAGTGATCTATATATTCATATATAGCATACCCTGGTTAAAAATATAAAAATGTTTTTCTAACAGAGGGTTGCAAAACAAAAACTTTGGAGACCTAATATAGGCCAAACAAAGGACCAATATCTCAGGCTGCTCCCTCCCACCCCTCCCCTCTCCAACCACAAATATCTAAAAATATGTGTGTAATTTGCCCTGTGTTGTGTGGTTTAAGGAGTATGGGATTTGTGGTTGAGGTCTGAGTTCAAGTCCAACAGGGTGACTGTGGGAATACCATCCAGCCAGTGTGTTTCAGACAGTGTTCCAGAGACCTCCTTTACATAATCATGACAGGGGGATGTCCTTGATAAAAATAGGTATTCCTGGGCCCTCTCCAGGCATACTGAATCCTAATCTGTGACTAGGGAGGGGCAAGGGAGGGAGACACCAGGGAATCTGCATTTTTATAAGCTCCCAAGGGAACTTTTATGCCTGCTCCATGCCCAGCTTCTGATATTTAGGTCATTAAATATGAAATTTCCAATTTTGAATCAGAAGTTAAGTTTATTATATCTCAAACCAGAAGTAGTACAATTAATCAAAGTATGCATTTAAACTGTTGACACAGTTTTGCCATCTTAAGGGTAGCTTGCTTATGACAACAACGAAGAAGCCTGGAGAGCAAGTGGCCATGAAATCACAAAAGGTATTTTCCACAACTTGTTGAGAATTGAATATTTTTCCTTGCAAGAAGTGGTCCAAAGCCTGGAAGAAGTGGCAGTCAGTTGGTGCAAGTTCTGGTGAATATGAGGACAACACAGAGTTTCCAAGTCCAGCTTCTGTAGCTTGAGTGGCATTGTTTTTTGCAACATATGGTCTTGCAAGAGGATTGGCCTGTCTCTATTGACCAATCTCAGCTGCTTCATCACAGGGATCCTCCTCATTTTGTCCAACTGGTTGCAGTAGACATTAATCGATTGACCAGGTTTCATGCAGCTGTAGTGGATCAAACCCGTGCTGGATGACCAAACAGACACCATTAGCTTTTTTTTTTTTTTGGTGAATATTCAGTTTTGGACTGTGCTTTGGCACTTCATCTTTATCAAACCATTATGCTGAACACTTGCTATTGTCAAAAAGAATCCATTTTTCATCACATGCACAATACGGTATAGAAATAGTTTGCCTTTATGTCCTGACAGCAAAGAAAGGCAAGCTTTGAGATGATTTCTCTTCTGATGCTCATTTAATTAATGCGGTACCCATTGATCCAGCTTCTTTACCTTGCCCATTTGTTTCAAATTGTCCAATATTGTTGGAATAGTAACATCAAACCTTGCTGCTAATTCACTTGTCGGTTGAGATGGATTCACTTCTACTACAGCTTTCAGCTCATCATTGTCCACCTTGGTCTCAGGTCACCCACATGGCTCATTTTCAAGATTAAAAATCACCAGAATGGAACTTTTCAAACCGTTGATGTACTGTGCATTCATTAGCCACATCCTCCCCAAACACTTCGTTGATATTTCAAGCTGTCTGTGCTGCATTGGTTCCACGACAAAACTCATATTCAAAAGTAGCACATATTTTTGACTTATCCATGATTTCACAAAAATTGCTCTAAAATTTTTTTGGAAAGATAATCACAAGCCAAAATATGCATTTGAAAGAATGAGGATGTACCTTCAGAATAAAAAAGAAGTGTCCAACTGAAATGTCAGAGATATCAACTGTCAAACTTAGTACTTAAGGAAATCGGACATCCCATACTTAATAACCTAATATTAACATTTCTGAGCTTGAATTTCCTAACATATGAGGTGGAGATGATAATACCACCTGGGAAGGCATCTTGCTAACTGTAAGAGCACTCTACAGATGTGGGCTCTTCCCATCCCACATCATCCTCCCTAAAGGACATCTGAAGGAAGACAGCACCAGGAGGGTGGCGGTGGGGTGTATTTAATGGGACCAGGAAAGGTAAATAGAAAAATGAGCCAAAAAACATGTTTTTTTCTTCTTCTGTTTCTTTCCACCTTCTGCCCTACAGATTTCCCTTCCTGATCTAATCCCAGGCGCAGTGCTGTGCCCATCCGTGTTAGTGCATTTAGCTTAGACTCCCTGTGAGTGGTGGGGATGCATATCACCAGCATCCATCTGAGGCATCATTTTAACCTTTGCCAGCCCACTTTCCCAGCCCATTCAAGTCCTTTATAGAAATTTCTCACAATCCTGAATGCTGTGTTTTGGTCCAGGAGAAACCGTTGATTCTCTACTCACTGTGACGTTCGCTGTGTATACCGTTCGGCAGAAGCCACCTGGAATGTGTGTGAAATGGCACACAACGTATTTGGACTAGGGCATTAGTGTGGCTGCTGGTGCAGAGAATTCAAGCCCCGAAGGCTTCATCAGAGATGCACAGACTGAAATCGAGTTCCCTGGAGGTGATACAGGGGCTTTCTCTCTGAATCGTTGTGTGGGGTAAACTGCAGGGGTAACAGGCTGGCGAGCTGGGCCTCTCGGCCTCCCCATTCCTTCCCTTCTCTACCTCTCACTCTGCCCCTCAGTACAGCTGCTCTTCCAAGGGGAGACTCTGGTTAGTTCTCTGAGCCAGATTCCTGGAGCACTTGGCACAGGTGTATGTTTTGAGTAAGACATGGCCCTCTTCTTCCTTTTTTATCCTTTCCCCTGGTCCCAGTGGCTCAGACAATGTGAAACAACTTTATTCCCCTTCCAGATAGAGAGTGTTTTGCTTCTGCCTTTGAGTTGAAGCCCCATTCTTTGGGGGGAATACTGACAGCCTCTATTTTAGTCTAATGGCTCCAGTGTTGGGTTAGAAGGAAGGGAGGTTGTCTGTTCTGTTATTCTCAAACATCACCTAGAATTGAGTGAGACTGAGTGAGTTAGAAATAGGTGTCAGTAGAGGGCATGGTAGAGTTCTTGGAAGGAGTAAAGGGACACACATGGAAGGGCTTTAAAGGCACAATTAGCTGGCAGCTTGGCAAAGGAACAATGAAAAGAACGCTAAGGAAGCAGGAAGGAATTAGAATCAAGGCCCTGGTTCTGGGCAGGTGTCAGACTGTGGCTGCAGCTAGAACGCCTGAGTGATCCAATGGCACAGTGCTAATGACTTCTTTTCTTGTTTTCTTTCCTGTTCCCAACCTCTTCTACATATCCGGCCTTCTCTCCACCCTGAGTCCTCTCTCTCCCTTTTTCCCTTCTCTTCCCCTCTCCTCCTCTCTCCTCTTCCCTCTCACCCTCCATCTCCCACACTCCCCCTTCTTCCATGCCTCACATTCTACTCCCCCCACCCCAAGCTCTCTGGCGGATGCGAGTTGACCGTGGTGCTCCAGGACTTCAATGCAAGCCATAGCAGCGAGCTGACCATTCAGGTGGGGCAGACGGTGGAGCTGCTGGAGCGGCCCAGCGAGCGGCCTGGCTGGTGCCTGGTCCGCACCACAGAACGGAGCCCGCCCCAGGAGGGCCTGGTCCCCAGCAGCGCCCTGTGCATCTCCCACTCCCGGAGCAGCGTGGAGATGGACTGCTTCTTCCCCTTGGTGAAAGGTAGGGGCGAGGGAAGGGGAGGGAGACATGGACCAAGAAGGCCACAGGCACTGGCCTCTCACTGAAGAACCTCATGGGACTGGCCTGTCTCAGGAGCCCATTTTAACCTTGTGAGATCTCTCTGGGACCTGGTTGTGAAGAGAATGGTTTGGAAGCCCAAAGAGAAAGAGCTACCAAGTAGCTCTGTGGCTTTGGAAAAGTCATTTAACCTTCCTGAGTCGGTTTCATCATGAAGGTTGAATTAGATGACCGCTAATATCTCTGCAGCTTTGCCATTGTGTGACCCTACATTCAGAAAAGTCCTCTTCTACCCATGGCCAAATACAGCCTAGACCCTCTCTCCACTCACCCAGAGGTGCCAAACCCATGAAGATGCTGCAGCTGAGTTGGATGGGTCCTCCCTCAGCCCCGCCAGGGTTTGAGGCCCATGGATCATTTACATGCTTTTGACGGATAAATTATGCAGGCCTTGGCTTTTATGTAATCTCTGTGTTCCCTCTACAAGCCTGTTTGTTCACTTTTTCTCATGTCAGGGAGACTAAGCTATTCAGAACAGTGATTCTCCAAGGGTGGTCTCTGGATTAGCCACATCAGCACACCCTGGGCACCTGCTAGAAATGCAAATGCCCAGACCTGTAGAGCCCAGCAGCCTGTGTCTTCATGAGCCGTCCAGGTGACTCTGATGCACACACTCAGGTTTGAGATCTAGGCTCACACCTGTAATCCTATCACTCTGGGAGGCTGAGGCAGGGGAATTGCTTGAGGCCAGGAGTTCTAGACCAGCCTGGGCAATAGTGAGACCCTGTCTCTACAAAAAATACAAAATTATCCAGATGTGGTGGAGTGCATCTGTAGTCCCAGCTACATGGGAGGCTGAGGCAGGAGGATCACTTGAATCCAGGAGTTTGAGGTTGCTGTGAGCTAGGCTGACGCCACAGCACTCTAGCCTGGGCAACAGACAGAAACCTTGTCTTCAAAAAAAAAAAAAAAGTTTGAGATCCACTGACTTCAAAAGTCAGAATTTGCAGGGGCCTTGTTGAGATCACGTATTTTACATTAAGGAAACTGAGGATGCAAAGCCAGGTATTAGTTCTGAGCTTATTTTTGCAGGGATGTCCTCTGAGCAGATCTGTGCTAGACGTTTACAGGAAAGGAAGCAAGAAAAGGTCTGGTTCTGTCAGGAGGCAGGAATAAAGGTCACCATGAAGACCTGCTGCAAGCTCCTCTGTAGATACTGTGTGGGGCTTGTTGTATATTGGAACACCCCCGTTTCTGGAATTCCATCTGGTCCATCGCCACAGTCTGACTTCCTCCTTTCTTCCACTAGATGGCGGAGGCGGGCTGCATTATTTGTACTGCTGGACTTCCTCCCAGACTCCCTGGGTTTTTTCCACCAGGAACCATATTCGAAAAACATCCCCCTGATTCTCCTCCCACGCCCACCCCCAGCAGCCATGCCCTCAACTCCCAATTTAGTCATTGCCTGCTTTCCACTTTCCTCTGAAAACTAAAGAGGGACTGTGTTGGGAAGCTGTGTGGGAACTTGTAACTGCAGGTGCAGCTCCTCAGGCCTTTGAAGTAGCTGCCTGGAGAAACTCCTGGGATCAGGGAAAAGGAAAATCGGGGAAACTCAGCAGCATGGTTCTGTTTGAAGTACAGCCCAGGGGAAAGTGGAGCACACAGAGGGTAGGTTATTCCAAGGGTAAAATGAGTTAATACATGCAAAACACAACAGTGTGTTACACTCAGTGCCAGTTGGTTGTCATGATAGGTTATTGTTGTTATATCATTTGTTATAGATTATCCAGCAAAATAGCTACAGACTCTCACAAGTCCAGTTGAGAGACCCTGTCTGCAGAGACAAAACTAAGGACAGCACTTCGTTTGCTACAAAAGGCTGACTTTCCTTGGATCCTTAGCTATGGGTCCTTTTCATCAGGAGGGACTTGGCTTCAAGGGGAGACTTGAGCCTTCCTAACCTAGACTTTCCAGCCGGTGGCTGGAGAGAGTGTGCATCCCTCCCAGTTGGGCCCACTACATCTGCAACTTGGCAGGAACAAGCCCAGGGTGGAGATCAGCGTCAGCCTCAGTCTGTGCTCCAGGAGTGGGAGGTGGAGTCCTTCTGGGTAAGAACCCTAGAGAGAGGGCGCCCTCTCCCCTCTTTGCTACAGGATAGGTTAGTGGAGATTTAGCTAAAAATAGGATCTGAGGACCAGGAATAGAAAATAGAGGCAAGAGGGAAAGCAGGGAGGGAGGCTGTCCTAGAACTTTCCAGCTAACTCTGACAACTAGCATGGCTTCAGAAAGGTACCACCAGGGCCTGCACTGATTTCCTTGACTCTTGTTATTTGCACATTGGTTCCTCTCTCAAGCATGAGCCAATTATGTGGGGCCTTCAAATGGCAGCCTGTGAGCTCCCACTATCCTCTCACCTGTGTGGGCTCAGAATACAGAGGTGTCCAACTCTCAGCAGTCAGATCTAAGTCTCCATCCTCCATGGAGCATCCCCTATATCCTTAATAAGACCCCTGTGAAAGTATGTGCTCTCATACACATGCCCCAGCTTGGAGATCCCTCCTTCCCTCTCTAGGACCTACCCAGAGCTGGCCTCAGCCAAGACCCATCCAAGCTTGCTGCCTGCTGGAGACCTACCTTTGCTTCTCTCGGCAGTGACTTGTCTCCAATGGAGTGCTCTACTTTATGGGCTATGCACATGTTAATTTAAAAAAAAAAAAAAACACAAAGTTTATATTTAATAAAAAAAAAAAAAAGGAGAGCTTTGTTTCTCAACTTGCAGTGGCCATTCTAACAGGAAACACTACTCCAGCCACAAGTCAGTAACATGTGTTTCAAGTGAGAGATAAAAGGGAACAGGATCTTATGCTGAGTGGGGTGGCTAATTATACATGTTTAACAAGCTATAGGAAGAGTCATGAATACTTAGAAAGGAAGACACGCATGTGTGATTGGGCTTTACACCTCCTAGCCTGTCATGGCTGGGAACTCAGTTTTAAGGCTTTGTTCTGGGGTCCCCTTGGCTGAGAGGGGTTCAGTTAGTAGGGGGCTTAGGATTTTATTTTCAGTTCACACACAATTAGCTTGAGAATAAAACTTTATTCTGGAGGTTGTGGAATAGGAGAAGATGGCTCCACCTGGGGTCATGCAGGTTAGCATCAATTTCTTTTTCAATTCCTGGAAAGGAAATGGTCCTCCTAACCTTTGCAGAGAGCACCAAGTGAGAAGCTGTGCGAGGCAGGGAATATCTGTGTGGCTCAGGCCTTAACTGTCACCCTCAAAAATGGGGGCAGAAGAACCACAGAATGTTAGCACCAAGGCGGGAACTTGGGTACCACTGGAACAGGGTTCTCACCCCTGGCTGCGTGTGACATCACCTGAGAGCTTCTAAAATGCACTGCCAGACCCCACCTACAACAACTGCAAGTCAGAGTCTCAGGATGAGGCCTGGGGTGTTTTTTCACTGTGCCATAGGAAAGTCTTAGGTGCAGCCAGGGTTGAGAACCAAAGCGCTAGCCCAGTCTCCTCTCTTGCAAGGGAATTCTCAGGCCCAGGAAAGCAAGGTGATCTCCTCAAAGCCAAGGGAAGAGTTGGTGGCTGCCTGGGGCAGGTGAGGGCTCCCAGTGCTTCACCTTGCTGTGTGCACACACATTCTGCCTTTTGGGCTTCTGGGCAGCTCTAGGGCTCCTCTCTGCTCTTCTGTCCTCTGCCTTCTCAGAGGACAGTGGTTGGTTATTTCCTCCTATATATTTCCTATACATCTGTGGTGCAACTCATGATGGGGTTAATGAAAAAGAGCAGAGTTCTGTGAGAGAGCTGGAGTGGGGCTGCCTTTCCTATCACTTTAATGCCACCCTGACATCTTAGGGCTTCCCACTGGGACCTAGTCCTTCCTTTCCACAGTCCCCTCTCACTGTCACAGCAGCAGGTGGTAGAGGGCAGCACCTCCCAAGGGGCAAAGACTGTAGCAGTGGTTTTCAATTCTGGATGCTTCTTAGAACTACTTGGAGCAGATTTTTTTTAATGCTGATGCCCTGTACCCCAAAATGGGGCCTGAATAGACATTTCTCCAAAGAAGATACACAAATGATCAATAAGCACATGAAAAGATACTCAACATCACTAATCATTAGGGTACTTCTGCTTTAGGCTCCAAAACCCAGTCTAGGTTCCTCCCTACCCAGCTGGGTTCCCTTTCTTTTCCTATGTACTTTCTTCCCTGGCTGGGGTGAGGGTCAGGAGAAGCTATAAAGGAAGTGCCTGTCTGCTTAGTGGAACCAAGCCCAGGGCTCCACCATGTGCCTTATAAGCAGATGCTGCAGAGGATGGGGCAATGGCCCGTGCAGTCATGGCTTGTTCATGGGGAGTCCTTTCCCTTGGGGTCTCCTGGTGATTTCTGCTGTTAACACCTACCTGGCCTCAGGAACAGCTTGCCCAGGCAGTGTACAACAGTTAAGAAAGCTTGGACTCTGGAGGCAAAAACCACCAACAGCCTGAGAACACTGAGCAAGTCTGTGTTATCATCAACTTATGCTAAGTTTGTAGTCAGCTCACAAAAATACCTAACATTTATTGAACCTTACTATAGGCCAGGTTCTGGGTTAATGTTTTTATACTAATGACAGTAATGTTTTCCTCATTTTACATATAAATAACTGAGTCTTGGAGAGATTAGGTAAATAACTTGCTCAGTCACATAGCTGCCAAGTGGTGGACCTGGATTTGAACCTAGGTCTGTCTATTTTCCAAGGTTTTCCTTTACCACCATGTTCTGTACCTACCCAAGTCTGAAGGCATTTGAGACAAGAACTTAAGTTTATCCTTCCATCTGACTAGGCTCGCCTTTCTTAACCAGTCTGGCTGAATTTGAAGAACATTAACCTTCGTATATAACACCTGCTCACTCTTTCTCACCTCTGGCCCCAAATGCTCCCCTCCTAGGAGGAGCAGCAGCAACCAGAGATAGCTTTTGTCCTGTGGGTGTC